TCGCCATGTCCTCGGTCACTGCGGGCGCGGGCAGTCCCAGCCGCNCCAGCGATGACCGGATCAGCGTCGCGGCCTCGGCATCGGGAAAGTGGCGAGGGGCGATGCCGCCGCTTGCACCATCACCCGCGCTCCTGGCCGCGGCTGCCGCCGCCGCCTGCTCCTGCCGCGTGAGCTTGCTGTTGAGCGCCTCTGCGAACTCGACCATCTGCTTGGCCTTGGCCATGAGGGCCTCGAGGTCCTTGAGCGCGCCCTGCATGTCGTCGCTCTGCACCCTCGAGCTCGAGTCGACGACCTTGAGGATGCCATCGATGCCCGCCTTGCGCTTCGACGCGCCGGTCCCGCGGCCGTCGAGGTCGACGGCGGCCGCGGCTGAGCGCGAGGGCGTCGATGCGCCCGACAGCACGCCAGAGCCGATGGGGGCGTCGCGTCTGGCCGCCAGCAGCCACGCCTTGGACTTGAGCGTGCCCTTGAGCGCGGTGTAGAATGCCTTGTCGCCGCCCTTTCGGAAGCTCAGCTTGACCGAGTCATTTGAGGCTTCAGTCTTGGGCTTGGGCGTCTGTGAGCGAGACGGCATCCGGCTCGAGATCGACGTCGCGTCCGTATCGCTGCTCTTCCGCGCCGGTGTCGCGGGCGCCGACAGGGAGCCGCGCTTGGTCGTCGCCGCCGACGTCGACGCCGCATCCGAAACATCTTCGGTGCCGATCAGCGAGCCGCACATCTCGCAGCGCACCATCGAGGGATGGTTGAGGAAGGTGCAGGTGGGGCAGGCGTGGCCATCGCCAGAGGCGGCCGTCGACCCGCCGGAATCGTCCGATATTGCAAGAGCCGACACGCCGGTCTCTTCTATCTGCGCAGAGCGATCGCTGGTGGACTTTCGGCCGCCACTGTTGGTATCGGCGATGCGGGAGGCCAAAGTCGTGGCGGTCTTGGACGTGGGGTCGCGTGTGACGCCACAGAGCTGGCAAGTGTCCTTTGCGGCATCGACCGAGGCGCCGGATGTGTTGCTGAAGCCGCAGATGTTGCAGATCCACTGCGACGAGGTGCTGGCTGCCGAGGCGCCGAAGTCTGCTGCGGCGGCAGAGGTTCGCCAGTCCCTCGACGTCGACGAAGAGGCGGCAGCGACGGTCGCTTCCGGGCGCAGGGACCGACTCGAGGGTCGCGGGGACAGGCGTGGCGAGTGGGTGAAGCGGTCCGATCCGACCAGATGGTGGGTCTGCTCGGGCGCCTCTACCTTTGGGTCGAAGGCGAGGGTGATCTTTGGGCTGCTCTTGAGGAAGCCGGCGTAGTACTCGGTCTGCTTGACCAGGGAGAGGTCGAGGGCGCATGAGTGGCGGTGCGGGTTGAGGTCGTCGACGTAGAGGAGGCGGTGGGAGGTGAGGTACACGGTGCCGCTGGCCTGGTCGAGGCTCTTTTCCCTGCCATCGTAGAGGCCGATGCCAGCCTGGAGCGAGAGGACCTCCTCGTCGGGCAAGAGGAGCGCTCCGATGGACGAGTTGGTGGCATCAATCTGCTGGAAGCGATCCATGCCGCGCGGTGCCGCGCCAGGCTCGCACAGGTGGGTAGCAGTAGCGGCGGCGGCAAGTGAGATCAGCCTCGGCGAGCAGCCGACGAGAGGCAAGCAGGAGGGCGAGCAGGAGAGATTGAGGAGTCGAGGAAGGACCCAGAGTGGTGGCCAAGGCGAAGGCGAAGGCGAGAGCGAGAGGGAGAGCGAGAGCCAAAAGGCGGCGCTCGCCGACGTCCGTGCGCGTCCCCGGCCCGCGTGTCGGCCACGCCTGGAATGGCCATGTGGAGAGGGGGCGAGAGGGTTGAGCCCCCGATCCGTGTCGTCGGACCCGATCCGGTCGGCTCGCCCTGGGCAATTGGGTTTGGTCAGCCGACGGGGGCAGAGGCAGGGGCAGAGGCAGCTTGGCGGGCAGCGGCGGGCCACGGCAGGAAGAAACGGAAAAATGGGCGTGGCTAGGCCAGGCCAGCCAGCCTAGCCTAGCCTGCCCGCCTGCTGCTTCTTCGCACGTCGTTGGCTGTCGGGTGGCCTCCGATCAAAGACCCTCGACGAAGCAGAGGCAGGCAGCTGCAGGCGCTGCTCGCCCGGCCTTAGCTCAGAGGCAGGCTGAGGGCGAGCCGCAGGCAAACGACGACGACGACGACGACGACGAGGCCTCTATGGGCAGCAAGAGGCTAGGCCTAGGGCCCTTTCTCCACACGCCAGCCGGCTACCGAAGGCTGGGCTAGCCGTCCGTGTGCCCGCCCAGGCCCGCCTGCCAGCTGCCTGCCCCAGGCTACCGGTAGGAAGAGGGCGGCCCGATTTCTTCCATTGCTTGGGCGGCCCTACCCGAAGGAAAAAAGGCGGCCGCGGCGTCATTCTTGGCCCTTGCTGGGCCTGGCCTTCTCGCTGCTGCTGCCGCTCCTGCTCCTGGTCCAAGAAGCTTGACTCCCTCCTTCCCCTCCTCGCTGCCACCACCACCACCACCACCACCACCACCACCACCACCACCACGTCATCATTATCTTCTCCCTGTACATTCCTTTGGCACGGTCCCCTGCCCCGCGCGAGCTGTCTTGATCACTGCCCGCTCGTCCTATGCCACGAGCTCTTCGAGGGTAGCGCTTCCAGACCGACATCGCCAAGAGGCAGCCTTCGGAACCAGGACCCCTTTGAAAACGACCCAATCGAGGTCACCAAAACCCATCTGCCTCCAAAGACTGCGCGCCACATAGAGCCTGCCCGTCCAAGATGGCTTCCGAGGAGCCCACCGTACAGAACGGCGCCCAGCCCGTCGACGACGTCGTAGAGGCCGCCGACATCGACGAGTGTGAGTAGCAGCAGCGCAAGGCGCCCACACTCGCAGGCCCTCGGCCCTCTCTGCCCTACCGCGAGCGTGCCATGCTGACCTCCGACCAAGCGAACCGACCGGCGCTCTCTTCTGCCGACGCCTCGTCAACAGCGCTGCAGCCGTTCGAGATCTCGCTCCACCTTCCCCGCCGGCCGCTGCTTCCTAGCAAGGGTCTCGCGGGCCTGCCCGAGACCCCGTCGCCGCTTACCGTGGCCGTCACTCCGCAAGAGACCCTCAACGACCTCCGCGTCACCATCACGGATAGCCCCGAGGGCTACTGGCTCGGCGCCTTCTGCTTCCGCCGCCCTGCGCCCGGACAGGCGGGCAAGAAGGCCGGATCCAAGGCGACGCTCGGCGAGAGGGTAGGCGAGTGGATCGAGCTGCGCGAAGTCTTCAAGGATGTGCCCAAGGGCCAGCGCGAGCTCCACGTCACTCACGTCCCCTTCAACGAGGCCGACGCTCGCGCCCACGTCCAGCGCCTCCGCGACCTCCTGACCGGTGGCCAGGCCGACCCCACCGCCATCGGCATCGACGCCGGCATCAGCGTCCAGGACGCCGTCAAGAACCCCGAGGCCTGGACCGCCGCCACCACCACCAACAGCAGCAGCAACCAGCAGTCCGGCTCCAAGAAGGGAGGCAAGGGCAAGAATGCGTCGTCGTCGGCGGCTACGGCAGGCGGAGCGGAGAGCCAGACGGACGCGGCGGCAGAACAGGGCGCCAAGCTGCCTTTTGCCGACTGGGAAGAGTGGAAGTCGACCGGCACCTCGAGCCTGATCCCGCCCCAAGCCCACCGCCCGCGCCAGCTGCCCACCTGTCACCGCCTCGACCCACGGCTTCTACATCAGCCGCACCACCGGGTCCAAGTTTGACCCGTCGCCGAGGCCCGCCGGCCAGGACTTTGCGTCGTGCTCGCTCTTTGACCTCCTCTGCGGCTTCTCGCCCCTCTTCCTCACCAACTTTGCCAAGCTGTTTAACGACCCGGTCTCGTCGCGCGACTACTTCTCCGCCGTGCCGGTGACCAACGCCATGCCCGCCCACCCCTGGCTGGCCCGCCAGCACAACCACCACGTCGACCCGCTCCGCTCCCAGACCGCCTACCTCTTGACCGGCGCCACGTCGGCCGACACCCTCGAGGGCACGCGCGACTGGAACGACGAGCTCCAGTCGACCCGCGAGCTGCCCCGCACCAACCTGCCGGAGCGCCTGATGCGCGACCGCGTCCTCAACCGCGTCTTTGCCGAATTCACCCAGGCCGCCGCCCGCGCCGTCCCCCGCGTCGCCGCCGGCGAGGTCCAGGCCATGAACCCCATGGACCGCCGCGACGCCCAGATGTTTATCGTCAACAACCTCTTCATCTCCAAGGGCGCCGACGGCGTCGACATCTACCCGCACATGGGGGGCGACGAGGCCGCCCACGTGGCCGTCGGCAAGGACGTCCAGGGCATCAAGACGCTCAACAGCCTCGACGTCGACGGCCTCTGCCTCCTCGGCACCGTCGTCGTCGACTGGAAGGGAGAGCGCTGGGTGGCCCAGAGCATCGTCCCCGGCCTGTTCCGCCGCCGCGACGACGACGCCGTCGCCGAGGCCGAGGTCGGCGAGGGAGAGGTTAAGGCGGACGCCGCCGCCGACGCCGCCAAGGACGAGGCCGGCAGCAAGGACGACGCCAAGGTCGAGGACAAGAAGCAGCAGGAGCGCAAGCCCAACGGCGAGCCGGCCAGGCAGGACCCCAACGACGACACCCAGGTCGTCTACGGCGGCGTCGAGGGACCCGAGGTGATCCGCAAGGATGCCGCGTTCCACCGCCTGTTTGGCCAGGTGGCCCACACGCTCCACCTCAGCGAGCACGAGGTCGAGGACGCCAAGCACAAGAAGCACTCGCTCTGGCTCAGCGTCGACTCCAAGGGCCTCCGCGGCGCCGACGGCCGCAAGTACGTCCTCGACCTGGCCCGCCTCAACCCGGTCGACGTCAACTGGCTCGAAAGGGACATGGACGGCGAGGTGCTGCTGGCGGGCGAGGCCGACCCCAAGGCGGCCGCCTACCCGCACCGGATGGCCCTCCTCCGCCCGGAGCTGCTCGAGATCTTCTGGGACAGCGAGTTCCGCAAGTGGGCGCGCGAGAAGCTGGCGGCCCGGCAGGAGGCCAAGAAGGCCATCGCCGACAAGGAAAAGGCCGAGGGCGAGTCCGGAGACGCCACGGGCGAGGACAAGGACAAGGACAAGGACAAGGAGCCGGAGCCGGAGCGCATCGACTCGTCCGACTTTAAGCTGAGCTTCAACCCGGACGCCTTTGCCGAGTTCAAGGTGCCCGACGAGTCGGCCGAGGGCGAGTCCAAGGTCATCACGCCCGTCTCGGACGAGTCGGACGCCTCGGTGGCGGCGGTGCGGGCGGCCGGCACCTTCCTGCGCGAGGTGGCGGTGCCGCGCTTTGTCACCGACGTCGCTGCCGGCCTCTTTTCGGCCCCGGACGGTGCCGCGCTGTCGAGGCAGATGCACGCGCGCGGCATCAACGTCCGCTACCTCGGATACGTCGCCCGCCTGTGCGAGGCCGACCAGAAGGACAAGCTGGACGAGGAGCTCATCAAGAAGGCCGGTCCGGGCCACGAGGGCTTCCTCCGCACCTTCCGCAGCGTCGTGCTGCAGGAGATGGTGCTGCGCGCTGCCAAGCGCATCCTCCGCACGCTGCTGCGCGACATCGAGCAGGTCGAGACGTCGGCCTGCGTGTCGCACTTCCTCAACTGCCTCGTCGGCGCAGCCCGGGAGCCCAGCCCCAAGCCCGACTACCGCCGCTCGCCATTCGCCGACGCCGAGGACCCGGCGTGGACCGAGCTGACGCCCGAGTCGCTCGCGTCGCAGATCCGGGCCCAGGTGCGCCAGCGCTTCCGCTACGAGCTGCCCCAGTCATTCCTCGCGACCGAGCTGCGCAAGAAGCAGCTGCTGCGCGAGGTCGCCCTGCGATGCGGCATCCAGCTCAAGCTGCAGGACTACGACCTCGACGGCCCGGCGCCCTCGTCGCACGCCGCCAACGGCGCCGCCTCGGACGAGTCGGCGGCCGAGGTCGCCCAGGTCCAGCAGCCAAACGGCACCGACGGCAGCAAGAAGAAGAAGAAGAAGGGAGGCAACGGCGGCGCCGCGGTTGCCGCCGCCAACGGCACCAAGTCCAGGTCGGCCGCCGATGCCGCCGACCCCAAGAAGGCCGCGCGCACCACGGCGTTTGAGCCGTCGGACGTGCTCAACCTGCTGCCGGTCGTCAAGGACTCGACGCCCAAGAGCACGCTGGCCGAGGAGGCGTTCGAGGCGGGCCGCATCTCGATCAGCCGGGGCGACCGCGAGCTGGGCATCGAGCTGCTGCTCGAGGGCGTCAGCTTCCACGAGCAGATCTACGGCCTCGTCCACCCCGAAGTGGCGCGGTGCTATGCGCTTTTCGCCACCATCATCCACCACTTCGCCGGCGTCGTGGCCATGGAGACGGCGGAGCGCATGCGCCAGGCGCAGGCCGAGGGGCAGGAGAACCCGCAGATCGAGGTGCCGCCCATCAACGAGCAGCTGACCATGGCCAACGCGGTGCGCTACCAGCGGCAGGCCGTCACCGTGTCGGAGCGCACGCTGGGCCTCGACCACCCGGAGACGCTCAACCAGTACATGAACCTGGCCGTGCTGGAGCGTTCCGAGGGCAACACCGAGGCGTCGCTGCTGTGCCAGCAGCGGGTGCTCGACCTGTGGGAGACCATCTACGGCCGCGACCACCCGGACTGCGTCAACGCGCTGTCCAACATTGCGCTTACGCTGCAGAATGCGCGTCTGTTTGAGTCGAGCCTGAAGCTGTACCAGTCGGCGCACGAGCTGGCGCTGCGCATCTTTGGGCCGGACAGCATCCACACGGCCAACCTGGCGCACGAGCTGAGCCAGGCGCTCACCCTCACCGGCGACCTCAAGACGGCGCTGACGGTCGAGAAGGAGGCATGGCGCGTATTCGAGGAGCGCCTGGGCAAGGAGGACGCCCAGACAAAGGAGAGCGAGGCCTTTTGCCTCAGCCTGGCCGCCTCGGCGGTGCGCGTGGCCAAGCTCGAGAAGGAGGCCAAGGCCAACGAGGCGCGCAAGGGCGGCTTTGGCATGGGCGCCACGACGCGGCCCA